TACGATTGTTATTATTTCACCCAACAAACCTAACCGGAGAGAGAGAGAAGGATTACAACATAAATTAATGTCCTTTTCATTCTTATTACAACTATATCGCCTGTTCATAATGATAAGATTATTATAAAAATGAAAGAATGATATAACATGATAATGGTAGGTCAACTTATGAATTGGCGATATTGTAAAATGACTAGGTGATATTGCCAACTCATTTAGGTGTTATTATCTAAACGTAATCTAATGTAAAACAAATCCCATACCAAGTTACCTCTAACCGGGAGGATTTCAAAGGAGTATTGCTTCTGCCAATGCGCATGTATATATGTTCTCGCAAATCATTATCAAATTCTTATTTTTAGGACAATAAAAGTATATCTTCAAAAGCCTGTCTGAGAATACTGAACGATTGTAAAGTCCATGTAAGCTACAAAACTTTAAACACTATACGTTAGAGAGCGATCGTAAATTATATGTTTTAGCTGGAACCGGAAGTCAAACGTCAGAAGGATAACCATGATACAATCAAGTCAGGCCCCAGGCTGTCCTTCGTTATAACAGTAATAGAAAGGCAGTGTCACTGGAACAGCTTCTCGTTCACACATCATGTTAGGCTTTTTTGGTAACAATTCAACGATAATTGGCAGATAACGGTAATACGAACAATTGAATTGATGGCAGACTAAATGAAGACAATTTATTTCCCCTAGAAAACTATGAAATAAAAATGTTGACGTGTTTTTTTTAGACATTCCGTTTTAATGGCTCAAAACCTAGTTTAGTATCGGTGATCAAGGACGCTGAGTTATGTTTATCACTTTGAAAACATATCACAATTTATCATTTAATCTTGAGCCCAAACAAAATGTCTTTGATGTTTATGTCTCCAGTATACTTAATTACGGTTGTGAATGTTGGAGTTTTCAACGCCGCTGTTAGAGAGGAAAAAATACATATTGACTTACTTAAAAAAGACTTCTGAATGAAAAAACTACTTCCTCGTTTATGGTGTACTAGGGTGTTTTTGTCTTACACTGTCTTAAAGTGTACAATGACTGAAAACTGGCTAAAGTTTGCTTTAAAATAAAGTTGAATTCGGAAAAAAAGGAATGATATTAGGGATGCATGCAATTGCGGAAGTTGTAACTGGCGCTTCCCAGCAAAAACAACACTAATTATCTATTGTTTTGGCGACACTTTGTTTTATCACTACTTAGATATTTCAATGTTTTTTATAATTGTTTGATTCCTTTTTTCTGTGCAGAAGAAGTCACATGAAGATTGTTTAAAGATCACAATGACATAAATTGGCATTGTCTTTTTTTTAATTTGACATGTATCACAATCATAGAAAACAAACACATATCTGAAGTTTACTTGAGCCTTTGTATACATGGGTTGTCTTTTTCCCTTTTTCATTCCTTTCCCATTAACTCTTCATACTTCAGCCATAATTACATTTGACAACATATGGTTCTGTTTTTGTCAATGGCCTGTTATAATCTACAACATATTTAAACGACGCCATCGTTAAAATAATATATGTGACGTCACAGACGTCAAGATGACATTGTCAAAAACTTGACGATGATTAAATCAGTTACAGTCGTGGGACCGCACAACGCACCAAAAATAGCGTGCGCACACCGTGCATACATCGTTCACATACCGTCCGCACATCGTCCACACATGGTGCGCACAACTGTGCGATTTAGCAATCGTTCGCCCCGTTGTGCGCTTCTCTCCGCACAACTGTGCGATTTGGTATCATTTGTAGATCAAAATTACGGAATGACAAAAATACGGAAGGCTTGTATGCGATAATGTACACTGTGTATATATCTGTAATTTCTCATCACAATAATCAAGATTATACAATTTCACAATGCGTGTTACACAGTATTACAGCGACCGTTAGGCTGTCAAGAATGGGTTTGGCTCCAAGGTAACAGAACAGGTAAATAACAATTTTATGAGTGTCCGGAGTTTTACCTGACCAGTGCCTGACACACAGAGCTGATATGCGATACCGTTTGACCGTAATGAATAGTATTTGTTATTTGCATTCGTTTGCCTATAGCTCCCCTTCACCTGGATTTTCACACCCCCGGCCTTACCCGACGAGTTACGTAAGTGCCCCAGGCGGGGAGAAAACTACGGTCCAGGTACATGTACAAAGTGGTTATGTTTACCTGTATACGGGATTGTGTTGTAATTTTACATGTGTCGATTAAGTTTGTTTAAAAACACAGAAAACACAATTTCTAAATATAAGAATGTATAGACAGAAAGATAAGTTTATAGATGTTGCTAGAATATAGAAACATACGTAAACATCAAGTTTATATGTTTAAACATGAAACCGTATAAATTGTTAAGGCATTCCTCAATTTACACCAACCACGATTGTTATCGCACAACGTCCGTCCATCGTGCGCACATATGTGCGCAAGCAATGATCGTCCAGCTTTTTATCGTTCGCCCATCGTGCACACACCGTTCACACACCGTGCACACATCGTGCGCACACCGCACATCGTGTAACGTTGTGCGATCCCACAACTGTATAACTTGTATAACAACGAAATTCGAAGAATATGCAATAAAAATAGTATATAAAGTCTGTTTCAAATATTTATGAGATTTATGAAACTAAACTACCTCTAAATGAACCTCTTAAGCCTACTTCATTAATCTTATCAGAAATGGGGAAATACTATAATATTATACATGTGTAATCATGCCCGATAGGCTCTGAAAAAAGGTATGACAATTTTGTTATTTTAATAAAAAAAAAAATCGAGATAGTTTTTATATGTTCATGTTGTCTTAATGAACTCATCGGAACGTCCCAAACAGGGATGGGGCGAAAGGAACGTCCCAAACAGGGATGGGGCGAAATGTCAGAGACTTAAATCAATATTTTATGTTTTGCTTGTATGAATATAAATTTATCTTCCAACCTATCCATCCATGTTACAAAGATATAGGATATCGTTGAAGTGGTGTGCTAAAAAACGCTTACTCCTCTTCAAGCCCTACAAACAGGTTTTTAATGTATCTCTATGCAGAAAACTTTGCTTTGAATACAACTTATAGATCCAATTACGTCTTACTTCTATAGTTCTATCGATAAACCTTAGTTTGGTAATATTTCATGTGACATTTGAATGAGCTAAAGTAGGGATCTCCTATGTCAGAATATTACAGTGTAAAACGATATTCGTTTTGACAAGAAAGACATACTTTTCCTGTAACAATTCATTGAATTGACGTTTTCATTATGTTCATTTCCATAAATCCCGTCGAGAATTATCAGAAACTCTGATTGCTTTGTTTGTAATGTATACGGCTTGGTTAGTCTTATGGGATGATTTAGAAATATCGATATTCTAGTGACATCACATTTATCTTTATTACCATGACAACTAGTAGTTGTTATTGTAAATCATTGATATTTTACGAGAGAAAACTTTGCGTTGCTTTGCAAATAGTTTCATTTTAGAATTCTGTATCTCTGGTGTATGTATACCTGAGCAAGAATGTGAAGACCAAGTAGTTATCACAGGTACTTGTGATCTTCTAATTTGGTTTTCCGGGGGTTTTTTTTATTTATTTTTTCTGTTACTGGGTAGTTTTAATGTACATGTATCAAGTTGATAGTTCAATGTTTAAATCGATCCTGTTTTTACGTGAAGCTATATATACATACACCTGATAACATTTGAAATTATCTTACAATGATTTGACTGGTTATAGAAAAGATCTTGTATTCCGCGAATAAAGACCAGAACGTGCCATCTTGAACGGGGAAAAACTATACCGACCTGCAGCCAGTGCCTCATAAGCCTCAAATTATGGCGCAGAATAATGCTCCCTGCTTGTGGATTAACAGCCGGTATTGAGTCAAAATAGCAAGTGCTCTTTCTGGTTTGTACGGTTTGTCTTTGTTTTACATCCTATTACATTTATTACAGCTATGTTCATTTAAGGACGTATCCCAGTTATTTCTGAATTAAAATTGTCAATATTCAAAATGTAGAATTTGTAAATAACATATTACTAAGGAGTAAATCAAATAGCATATAACGTATGTTTCGATTGGAGATGTTTCACGCTAAAAATACACTTTATGATCTTATATAAACAAAGAGGTTTCAGTGTCGACTTTCATTTAAGACTTGTCCCCTTCTCTTCCTCGCCGACGATCTAGACAGCTTAATGACTGACGTAGGAAACACCTATACATTTCCTTTGGACATCGGTGTTCTGTGGAGCTTTGCGACAGTTTTTCCTTGTTTTTTCATATTATTTGAGTAAAATGTGGTTTTCGAAAACACATATCAAAATTCGTTTGCAGGTTGATTAAAAAAATGTTTTTAAAGGTGATTGCTTAAAACTGTTCCAAAACGTGATATAACATTTTACATGAAGCCAGATAAAACCTATCACCTTGACTCTGTACATTGTAATTTCAAATAATGCATCAGATATCTACTCGCTAATTGTGTATTTATTTAAAGAGATGAAAATAAGACACAAACATAGGTTTCCACGTTTAAAATTTGACAAAAGATGTAGTATGCCAAGGTGAGAAGTTGGATTGTGCTTACTTAAAGCACCCTAAATTAGGACATGTTTTCACTATATTTCTGGGTCTTCTTTCAACCAGAACGAAATATGAATGACCAGGAAAAATTCTGAGCTCACTAATGGTGTCAGATACGATCGGCCGAAGTAATGACGTACTAACGAAACTTTTACGTCGGACTGTCTCTTCAACCCTAATGGATTGGTACTGTAGAGCGCTTCTCTTAGTGTACAACAAGTTGTTAACATTTTATCAAACTAAATTAATAAAGATCCGAGGTGGCGTGGTCACCAGTAGGGTATATATATATACAGGATAGGCCGCCTGTAGACCTGTACATTCTAGATCTCATATCGTCAGTATAAAGCCAACACCGCCTGCTCTTAATATTGGATTTCCTACGATTCATAGCGCTGCATCCACGATGCTATGACAAGAGCGCACGTGTATTTCCCAGTTAGTCGTGAGGTAGCACGTCGCTGCTATGATTTACACCTACTGACTATCCGGGGAAACTAGTATTCACGTTCGGGATCTATTCAATGTGCGAGTCGCTGGTATCAATTACTGATGGGATTTTGTAATCGAGAACAATATTTTAAAATAGTCCATGCTTTCAAATTAAGTTAGTGTGGTACGAAATTTTGAGGTAGAAATATATATCTATTTATGCATGTTCATACTAAACACGGATTTATTGAAAATAACAATAAGTGGATAGGAATCTGTGCACAAAACGATTAGCAATTCACTTGATTTAGATATATTAACAAACTTCACTAACTCTTGAATTTTTTAAATATGCAAAGCTATATGTTTAGCGCCTTCATCCGTGTATAAATCATTGTAACTTATCGTTCAACATAACTGGAGTAATGAGTGCCAATAGTTCGATTGTGTCCGGAAATGGGACGAATGCGTCGGAAATGTTCAACGAAGAGACGTACTTGGCCGAGCGATTAGGGGACAGACATGCCCCGTTATCGTCTCTCGTCATACTTTTCGTCGTGTATGGCGGAATATTAATAACAGGGACCGTGGGAAATATATGTACGTGCATTGTCATTGCACGGAACAGGACCATGCACACTGCCACCAATTATTACCTGTTTAGTCTGGCTGTGTCGGATCTCATAACTCTGCTTCTCGGTAAGTACCATTTTGTAATAATGAGATTATATTTAATTTGCGAGGGGGGATGAAAATCATTGTGATTGGCACGAACGACAAATATTTACGAAATAAACTGTTTTAGGTTTAAGTGTAATTGAATGCAACTCCTGATTATACATTGTACATTAAAAATATTATATTGGAGTTTACATCATTATAATTGTCAGTTGAAGTCGTTGGGAATCATTGACGGAATGTTGTGACGTATTTAGTATGATATTTCAACGTAAATGGGATGTCCCGTGTAATATTTAGAACACAACTAAAATGAAAACAATGTTCGTCAATGGAATCAAGCCGGCCATTTTTAGGTTTCTCATGATAATGCTTACAACAGCGAAACGTTTTACTTGGCACGTAACAAGGAGAAAAATGTATCAGTTCCGTGATTTTCGGTTGCACCTGTAACACCGGAGAGTAATTGCGCGAGGTGTTTTTAATGGAGTATCTATATTTAGAAAGGACATCCGGAATGCTTTGGTCGTTTGTCTGTGAATTTTTGTGTTATTATTAAGTTAATAGTATAATTTAATAGTATAATTTAATAGTATAATTTAATAGTATAATTTAATAGTATAGTTTAATTGTATAAATGATAAGTATCACGGTTCCTAGATTGATAGATATATTGTCCCAGACTACATGTAACTATCAAGTTTTTGATTATTTTGATAACTCTTTCTTCCTGAAATCCACATTAAAACTGAAGCGAGAAAAAATCACGTTAACGTACATCTGTATCTTTGTAAAGATTCCATCTATTTCATATATGTGTACTGCATACATACTACGTAGAATTCAAACGGGGCCGTCATTTACATGTACGAACTTCACCGTGGATAATAAAGCCAATATTTCGTATTGAAAACATGTAACTATTCCGCCTGTAACTATTCCGCCTGAAACGGATGCTTTTTATCTAGGTATTGTCATTTCCAAGCAGTTTCGTTAGACTGCTGTTCAGCTGCTGCCTGGGAACAGTCAAAACTGTTGACCCAAGGTGCTTGGATATACTTGAAGCTACCATTGGAAAAAAGTTTTTCAGGTTTTTCAAAAGATAGAGGAAAACCAATATACTGTGATTTCGTTGCTGTTTTAGGAGCAGTCAAAACTATTAATGTCCCGAAGTGTTTCGGAAGGAAAGGCGTAGCAAATTAATCACATGGTATTTTTGACTGTATTTGTTGGTTTCGCCGTAACTTTTCAATGTATAATAAACATTAAGTTAATTGTAGATACTGTTATGAGATAACGGTAACATCTGTTAGAAAAGCCACGATTTATACAATTAGTTCAAAGGTTGAAAAAGTATTACTCGTAAAATACTTTCATGTCGTTACATTGAATACCTTCATTCATCCGCATTTCCTCGTGTGTATTAAATACAAATACTGTCTTCGTTATTTCATTTAGCTTTACCGTAACATCATTAAGACGAGTGTAACATGTTTCAATATAAATCACAATCCTTAGAAAATTTTATCTAACACCTTACCTGGTCCTAGTTAACTTGCATGCTCTACTATCACAAATATGTCATATCCCGCTGTGCTGATTGACTACTTGTCTCTGAAAGTCAATGTTTTTTTCTTTATACATAAATACTTTAACAGAAGGATGCTGTTTTCATAGACGTGTGATGTTTTCATGCGTCTGCTGCATTTATAACAAATATATAATGTGTTTATGAGTACATCATTATCGGAAACATCAAAGAATGGAAACTGGCAGTGATTTGACGATAAATACATTACAAATCCGCGTTCAATAGCTAAATGCTATGTTAAACACTATATGCACCTTCTTTTCATATTTAACCATACCGATTACAATTGCTGTACGATGTGGCATCGTAGAATATGTAAATCAATGCAAATCACTATTGCTGTAAGATGTGGCATCGTAGAATATGTAAATCAATGCAAATCACCATTGCTGTAAGATGTGGCACTGTAGAATATGTACATCAATGCCAATCACCATTGCTGTTAGATTTGGCATCGTAGAATATGCACACCATAACAATTATCATTGCTGTAAGATGTGGCATCGTAGAATATGTAAATCAATGCAAATTACCATTGCTGTAAGATGTGGCATCGTAGAATATGTAAATCAATGCAAATTACCATTGCTGTAAGATGTGGCATCGTAGAATATGTACATCAGAGCCAATCACCATTGCTGTAAGATGTGGCATCTTAGAATATTTGCATCCATGCAAATCACCATTGCTGTTAGATTTGGCATCGTAGAATATGTTCATCCATGCCATTCACCATTGCTGTAGAATTTGGCATCGTAGATAATGCACATGTAAATCACTGCCAATCACCATTGCTGTTATTTTTCCATCGTCGATTATGTACATCTTTTTTGTTTATCCATGCCAAATACCATTGCTTTTAAATTTGGCATAGTATATTATGTTCATCAATGCCAATCACCGTTGCTGCAATTCTTCCATCGTACATCTTATGACATCTTTGCCTATGCACATCCATACCAATAATACTTGCTGTAAGATGTGGCATCGTAAATAAAGTACATCCATGCCAATTACCCTTGCTGCAATACTTACATCGTAACTACTTAAACAATCATTTCACTAAGTCCATTGAAAGGAATGAATGCAAAAATATAACTCTTGATCGAACATTTTAAATGCTTTAAAATAGAATTTCTACATTGGATATAGTACCTGTCCATTGCACTATGTACATGCTCCATAGTGTAAACATGTTGTCTTCCATATTGTTTAAGTGTTGGTAAAGATCACATTATTATCTCTTTTTTTCTGTCAGAATTTGGTTGCTAGGCGAGTTCAGTATATGCATATAGCTCCCTACGCAGCCGATAATATCGCAGTTACCACCAATTTCCAGAATGGTGATATAAAAGGTACCGGAATAACAACGCCTTTGCTATATCCTTAATTTTAAGGAATCTATCTTCCTCACTTAACCGTTTTTCGGCTCGAATTAATTTTCCTTGAGATCTGACCAATTATTTGGCAAGGAATCGCTTGCGAATTTAACATGAATTGTGGAATTTCTGAAGATGGATGACAATGGTGACAGACCCAATCAAATTAATGGAAATAGATCCATTTCACGCGAGCTCGCGCGGCTGTGTCGAAGCAGTGTACATATTGGCGCAATTAATAGCCGTAATCGAACCCGCATTATTGAAACAAATTAAGCGTGATCAAGTGGCGGCGTCACTCGGCAGGCGAATGGGTGTTTAAGTAGCTGGAATAGATCCCTATGTTAAAGATTGTATAATATTGTCTTATTTGCATAATATTTGTTCTAGAGGTTTCCCGAATATTCTAATCTTGTACCCTTTGATAGATTTATTGCATTTGAAACAAACAAAAAATCAGAGAAATGTTTAGTTTCCTCCGATTGATTTTTCTAAATGACATGTATGGTTATTTCAGATAAAAATAAAATCAACTGTTACTCAGAAAGGAGCTACATTGATGTATGTATTCAGAGGTCTGACACAAGTAGGTTTGATATCATGAGTTGACCCACACACGGACACAACGGTATCAAAATCTCCATACAATATCCTCCGGAGCACTAACTGTACCGATTCTGTAAACACATCTGCCTCTTAGTATTAAGACGTACAGAAAGAAATCAGAATATAAAACTGGACGGGACCTTCCGATCACCACTGCCGTTGGTGTCAGGGTACCTTGTAGACAGGGGAGTTAACACACTGTCCGTGTACCTTGTAGACAGGGAAGTTAACACACTGTCATTGTACCTTGTAGACAGGGTAATTAACACACTGCTCGTGTACCTTGTAGACAGGGAAGTTAACACACTGCCAGTGTACCTTGTAGACAGGGGAGTTAACACACTGCCCGTGTACCTTGAAGACAGGGGAGTTAACACACTGCCAGTGTACCTTGTAGATAGGGGAGTTAACACACTACACGTGTACCTTGTAGACAGGGGAGTTAACACACTACCAGTGTACCTTGTAGACAGGAGAGTTAACACACTGCCCGTGTACCATGGCGACAGGGGAGTTAACACACTGCCAGTGTACCTTGTAGATAGGGGAGTTAACACACTACCCGTGTACCTTGTAGACAGGGGAGTTAACACACTGCCCGTGTACCTTGTAGACAGGGTAATTAACACACTGCCAGTGTACCTTGTAGACAGGGGAGTTAACACACTGCCCGTGTACCATGTCGACAGGGGAGTTAACACACTGCCCGTGTACCTTGTTGACAGGGGAGTTAACACACTGCCCGTGTACCATGTAGACAGGGGAGTGAACATACTGCCCGTGTACTTTGTAGACAGGGGAGTTAACACACTGCCCGTGTACCTTGTAGACAGGGAAGTTAACACACTGTCATTGTACCTTGTAGACAGGGGAGTTAACACACTGTCATTGTACCTTGTAGACAGCGGAGTTAACATACTGTCCGTGTACCTTGTAGACAGGAGAGTTAACACACTGCCCGTGTACCTTGTAGACAGGGGAGTTTACACACTGCCCTTGTACCTTGTAGACAGGGGAGTTAACACACTGTCAATGTACCTTGTAGACAGGGGAGTTTACACACTGTCAATGTACCTTGTAGACAGGGGAGTTAACACACTGCCCGTGTACCTTGTTGACAGGGGAGTTAACACACTGCCCGTGTACCATGTCGACAGGGGAGTTAACACACTGCCCGTGTACCTTGTTGACAGGGGAGTTAACACACTGCCCGTGTACCATGTAGACAGGGGAGTGAACATACTGCCCGTGTACTTTGTAGACAGGGGAGTTAACACACTGCCCGTGTACCTTGTAGACCGGGGTGTTAACACACTGCCCGTGAACCTTGTAGACAGGGGAGCTAACACACTGCCCGTGTACCTTGTAGACAGGGGAGTTAACACACTGTCATTGTACCTTGTAGACAGCGGAGTTAACATACTGTCCGTGTACCTTGTAGACAG